ATTAACTTCCTATAACTACATCTTTATATAGCCTACTACAGTAGACGCATTGGTATGCCGGTTGGGAGCTATGTTGCCAGCAAATTGATAAAAGTAGTTCAAAGAAATGTCATTGCATTTTATGTATAATATTTAAATTTTTGACCACTGTAAGGTAACCATATATTTCCAGGGGTTCGATATATTAATAAAAAACCATTGTAAATGTGATAATCATAAAAAGATGTTCGACCCTGCCTGGATTCGAACCTTGAATCTTCTGAGTCGTAGTGGGAAGCGTTAGCCATTGCGTATAACTACGTTCCTATCAATGCTGAATGAGGTACTATGTTTTTACTTTGATGTTCGAATATGTCTGTAGACTGTTCACGGTAAAATGAGCACTTTGGAAAGCCGTACTTACGATATACATCTATATACACCTTGTGTATTCTTCCACCTCATGTAAAATTAACATTGCCACGGGTTTCAACAGTTCATTCATGCATAGGCCAAGTGGAAATGTGAAATTATTAGAAAAGTAAACATTTTATAAATCTGCCATTTTTTTACAACTGATGCAATAAAAGAGACAAAAAGGGAAATAAATAATTTAAACTATTGCAACGCCAAAAATTATATATTTATTTTGACTGAAAGTGTTGAGTAATAACTCTACCACTGTATAAATATAAAACGTAAAAGTTCCATAGTAACTAGTATAATATATAAAGGCAATCTAGCCTCAGCCGCCGTCCCGTCATTCTACTGTAGATTCTGCCAGCAAAATAAGTTAAAGCCGGTTTCATACATCATTTTACTGCTATTCTCATTCTCCTTCATCAAATGTTATCACAATAAAGACCAGTTCTTTATACTTAAACTTTGGGACCTCTATGGTAACTGTTACGTTGACACATCCGGACGGATGTGTGTGAATACATACGTGACTGATGCGCCTGATACTACACTGAGGCTGAACTGAGCCGGAACTGAGATTGAACTGATGTGTGAGAAGCGATCTTAAAGCAGATATAACGTTGTTACTGAAAAACATAAACATCATATCGACATGCTGGTATTTCTGTAATGTAATGAGTCTAGTTCGTAAAATGTTAAAAATGCTATTTATTGAGAACATTCACCCCAAGCCTAATCCCCAATCGTCTACACTCGACATATTCACACATCAAAGAGAACATAATAATTTCTGTAGAATCGATGGAAACGACTATCTTCATCACGAAGGCCCTGTGGCGCAATGGATAACGCGTCTGACTACGGATCAGAAGATTCCAGGTTCGAATCCTGGCAGGGTCGGGAATGCTTTTATAGCGATCACATTTAGAATTGAAGTTTTATATAAAATATCTGGAGAGTTATTGTTACCTTTAAGTGGAAAATGTCATGTTATAAACGGATTATTATGATGGCTTCCCGTTTATAAGGTATACAAACATTGATGACATTTCAACACGCAGATCTTATATTTTAAGAATGAACATACTTCACAGGAACGTTATGCTGTGTACTGGTACACTATGCTGTTGAATTAATATAACCATGTAGTCGCTTTGGTGTTCTATTTTAAGTTATGACAAACGACCTTTCGACGTGAGCAACTATTTGTTTACAAAATAAATTTTTTTATGCAGATGACATCATAAGTAGGAGTCGGTTAACTAACTTGTCTAGCACTGGCCTCGCACCGCTGTCCTTAGGCTCCAGTGGGCAGAAATTCTTCGGGGACGAATTATCATGTGTAGACGAAACGTGCAGGGAGAGGGGAGGTGTAGAGGGTGGGTCTAGCGGATAATGATGTGGTAAAGGTGGGTTTACGATTGACTTATTAGTATAAGTGCACCTTGTGCTTAAGATATCAATAACTGTCGTGTGTGGGTCTTGACGGGTCGTGTACGATATTGGCGTGACTTAAAGATATCGTTATGTTTTATATCTTAAGTACAAATCAGAAAGAAGTAGCCAATCAGAGCACAGCGACAGTTGATGTTGGTGGGAAACTGTATTAACAACTTGTATTTAGGCTATGTCGTATTTTAAATCGTATGAAAGTAATTATTTTAATCAAGAGACAGTATTCTCTTAATTCAAAGAATAGTTCATGGTCATGTTTTCTTTCGTGGAACAGGTTATCGAATTCCCATCAATTAACATTTTCTGATTTATTGATGTAAATGTCTAATGTTGGCATTGGCTTCCCCTTCTATAAGATTTCACGAGTTTTTTTTAACGATTACGCACCACCACCACAAATAATTAAATATATGTGAATTGTAAATTTTTTCAGGTTATTTCGGTTGCTTATGTCTCCTACGATATTGATTGGCTAGACTTAACAGTTGCTAATTCAATCATAAACTGCAAATTTCCTTATTTTTCATTTTCCGTGTCCTTGTCGAGTCAATAAGTACAATTCTTTAATCTTCAGTCTTTAATCGTAAACCCACCGTAAGAGGGTTTTCTGACGATGCTCCCGTCTTACTTTTGCCGCTTTTGGACTCTACTCCATGTCATCTTCTCCATTCCTTGGAATGGTCCGCACGACAGGAATGTAATTTCGCATACAGAGGCGTGTGACACCGATTCGGCGATCGATTCCTAAAGTGCCCTTTTCGGGTAGTCTCCAAAAGATTTATGAAGGTTGCCAAACGTGTTGTTGTAGCAGATGGCGATTAATTAGAGGGCAAATAAAGGTCAGCTGTTTGTACCTTATGTATTCTTTCTTTTCTGATGCCATTCACCGAACTTTATTGACACTATTTATTCTTAAGATCTCCATTCAAGTTATTCGTAAATGACTTCAGACTATTTGTGTTTGATACTTCAAGGCAATGCTAATTTGGACCAACCTAAACACTATGTAAACAGCAAATGCCTTAGTTTGCAAAGTATTATTTCAGCTGTTGATTTGATGCGGGATGTAGGCCCTATGCTGTTGTGTTGGCAATATCAATGATAATCAGGAAAGAAAGTAGCACTTATACCTGAAGATTGTAATTCAAAACTTCAATTATACTTACAATATTTGTGGTTTAAATTATGTTTTTAAAGTAATCTACTTTTTTTGGCCTTTATCGAATTGATTAAAAAATATGTTTAGCAATTATTGAGTAGCATACGGACCGTTACGGTCAATGAAAATATTCCAGCTCTGTAAACGTCATTGTGCATGTGATATTTTATCGGTGGTAAATGAATTTTGTATGTACTTAATTTCATTAAGCATGGCTAGTTGTATAGGTACCTTTATAGTAAGTTTTATTGCGTGAAATGTAATATTATCGACACATGTATGTCTTGGTCCGACCTTTTCGGTACCGTTATGTGTTGTCAAGAGCCAAGCCAACGTGTATTTTCGTTCCGAGGTTTATTAGTTTCGGGTAACCGGTGAAGTATCATATTTACTGAATGATTCTGCACATTAATTAGTATCAGGGGCAGACAAACATACGTGTCGAAGAATTGCCACAGAACAACGCGTGTTCAGTAATTGCGAATAGGAATTACGAACTGTAAGTCAAAATGTTTTTTGTAAATAATGTATTTCGAAACGTTTATTAGAATGTTTTAAATGTACGTGGCCTACGATACCATTTCACCGCTGTTTTTTAACGTAAAAATAAGTGTTTTTTAAATGGATATATCTAACAAGTGTAAGGTTAACTTCGCCAAAAATATTTACATACATACAACCTGGAATGGTATGTGTTAAGTACAAACAACAAAATATTTATCGCGTTTTATTCATCGAGCGAGATTAAAACTATACAGGTTATAATTTTAATGTTAATTCCTTACGAACAAGATTTTATGCTGGTCCATTAAAATAATAAGAATGTTATTCGAAATCATACCGTATCATAAGAAGTACTGCAGAACAATGCCGTATCAGGAACGACGTTAAACTTAAGTCTCTCCCAACCCCATCCACCCGCAATAAAATAAACAATGGCCCAGCAGTATAACTTGGCCTTAACAGAAATAAAGTAACCTGGAATGGTAACCTACATTGATCATAGCATTTGTTGACGGACTATATTTTCTTCATAAGCAGAACAGTTGTGGCGGAAGGATACATGATCGCAGCGCAACATTTCTAGAACTGTCAAAATTTGGTGAACTTGCTCTTCCTTTCCGTTACCATGAAACCGCGTGCATTTTCCAGTACATGCCGCGCTTCTCATTCCTCGTCATACATTATTCTTGTAATAATGACAAGTTCTTCGTTCGTAAACTTCGATACCTCGACGGTGACAGATCCATGTCCGGCCGGTTGTGTATGAATACATACGTGACGGATGTGCCTGATACTGGACTGAGTCTGAAGGGTTACGGAACGGAGATTGAAATTATGTGTGAAAAGCCACCTTTAAGCAGCTATAACGTCGTCACTGAGAAACCTAAACATCATAATGACATGTTGATATTTCTGTCATGTAATGCGTCTAATTCGTAAAACACTAAGAATGCTATTTATTGCGAATTTTCACCACACAACTATTCCCCAATCATCTACACTAAAGGCTGTTCACAATTAAGTGAGAACTTTTCAATTTAACCTTAGAAAGAAGTCACTGACCAAGCCAGCATATATGTCAACGGGCTCACTGAATGTCATGCACCCGGTAAAATTGGAAACGGTAGAAAGAAAGAAGTTCCATATCTTAACGTCGAATATAATGTGATAATTTAAATTATTCATTTCGCTTTCTGTTTCTTTTAATGTAGCAGTGTGTGAAAATTGCCAGATTTATAAAATGTTTACTTTTCTAATAATTTCACGGTTTCACTTGGCTTACGCATGAATGAACTGATGAAGCCCATCGCAATGTTATTTTTACATGAGGTGGAAGAATACACAAGGTACATAGACGTATATCGTAGGCACGGCTTTCAAAAGTGCTCATTTTACCGTGAACAGTCTACAGATATATTCACACTTCAAAGTAAAAACAAAGTACCTCAGGCAGGACTGATAGAAACGTAGTCCCTATTCCGAAGGCCCTATGGCGCCATGGATAAGGCGTCTGACTACGGATTAAAAGACTCCAGGTTCGAATCCTGGAGGGCTCGGGCATCTTTTTATGATTTATCACATTTAGAATGGTTTTTATTAATATATCAAACGTCTGGAAATATTTAGTTACCTTTCAGTGGAAAGCGTTACCTTATAAACGGTTTATTATGTCTGCTTTTATGTTTAAAAAGGCATAACAATATTGGTGCTATTTCACCATATTGAGCATATAATTGAAGTGTTAACACAAAGTGCTTCGCAGGAACGTGATACTTGCGTACTGATACCACCAATTAACACTATGTTATTGAAAAAATTTCAGCGTGTGGTCGCTTTAGTCGTCTATTTTAAGCTCTGACAAGAGATCTTTGGACGTGAGCTAATGGTTGTTTACAAAATTAATCATTTTATACAGATTAAACCTAGGAATCACAGTTGGCTAACTTGTTTGTCAATGGCCTCGCACCCCCGTTCTTAGACTCAGCTGGACAACAATTAAATTCTGCCGGGACGAGTTCTTATGTGTTCGGAAGGAAGGTTGGTAGAGGAAGGTTTTGGATGACGACGCTGTGGTGTGTGTGTTTTATCACGCGATGCTCCCGTCTTACTTTATCAGCTCCTGCACTCCACCACATCTCATCTCTTCCATTAGTTGGGCCGGTCGGAACGACATGAATGTTATTCGGATAAACGACACCCAGCCAGGTTCACTTAGCATCAGTCGTCCCCTCCACACTAAAAGTGTTATTAACCCTGTCTGAAGGCGTAAAAAGTGTGGGATATTTCCTTTTCATATCTGCAAATTTAACATATTATTCTTTCAAGCATTCCGGTGGTAGTTGTCCAGCACAGGCAAACGTACGGTAATCAGTATTTGGATGCCTTTGACAATGTTCAGATTTTAAATCTCTCAATCAAGGTTGTTCTCGTTAAAGTAAGTATTTTTATACCAACATTTTAAATAATAACTTCCCATAACTACATCTCTATATAGCCTACTACAGTAGACGCACTGTAATACCGGTTCCGAGCTAGGCCACTACGTTGCAAGCGAAGTGATTAAAATCGTTCAAAGACACAATATTGTATTTTGTGTATAATTCTTCAATCTTTGGCCATCGAAGCGACGCAATATTTTCTTGTTTCTGACCGCGATCTTAGCAGGACAGGTACTGACACTAACGTGGACATTTGCCATTCTTGTTGAATGATTTAGTTAATGAAGTAGCAGCAGAGTTCTGTCATCAAAACAGATTAATTTTTCATAGTCAATACAGGGGTAAGTAAAGTATTCTTAAAATCTCAATTACTATTTGAGAATGCCTTTAAACTATTTGTATTTGACCGATTTAGTTCTTGAAGTGGCCACATAGCGGTGTACCAAAATAGCGCTGTAACAAAATAGAAGATTTATAAATTTTGTATGTATGTATATATATATATATACACACATACATACATACACACATAAATATTCGTATTCTTATATAGAACATTTAAGACAAACAGCGTAAAAACAGACTATTTGGAGTAGATGGAGATTTTTGGACATTCACCATTGCGATGCAGATGTCTGTTATGGAAAAACGACCGAGAACGGAACAAATACTTAAATATGTCACGCAACCTAAGGCTTGTATTCTGCCGTGTCTGGTAAAACTGCTGTGTTTTAGTATGTTTCTATGTTGTGTTGTCCTATTTTGTTCTTACTTATTTTGTCAGCGTTGTCCCAGCTTTTTCAGGCAGGTATCTTGCCTGTGTTGGTTTCTATGACGTGTTGTCTGTTGGTCATGTATATACACATATATTTTCGTAATTAGTTGCTGTTCTGTTTTTTACTCTAATCCCTCTTGGAATTTTCCTGTGTCGTCTACATATATTTTCGTTCTCGTCCTTACGTTGCTTGTAATATTTCAGAATTTTTCCGTGCTCAGTCCTGTTTTTCCACGACAGAGATTTGCTTCGCAATGGCGAATGTCCAGAAATATGTAACTAGTTATTCAACCACCATTGTACTATTCATTCAAAGATCACACTATTTTGGCATAGCTTTTTTGGTATACATTTTTTATACAGCGCTATGCAGCTACATCATGAACTACCCAAATGTGTCAATATGTATGACAACTTATGAACATTAGTAGACAGTCAAGTTTCAAGACCAATACTTCTATGCAGTGTGCCGTACATATTAGAATATGAATTTTTACATGAATGACATATTTACACTTCTAAAAATGCAACGGTTTTACATGGCGCATGAATAAAGTGTTGAGTTCCATGGCAATGCAAATTTCATAAATACAAGCACGGTTTATATAAGTGCCCAGTTAACCGCAAATATGCTATAAGTAAACTTTCCACGTTTTTGAACGATTTTGACAAGATAAACTTACACCATAATTAATAATAAAATGTTGTGACGTTTTCTGTTACCAACAATACTTGGTATGAAAAGCATCCCTTCAATGTCAACGGGACTACAAAAATGAGAATATATACCTTAGGCGAAAACATAATACAAGCTAATTCTAGTGGACGTGAATTCTAATCGTTCCGCTTTTCTAATTGTTATTTAGATATACAGGAACGTTCACATTCATGCACAGTGTTCATTTTGAAAATTTGTAACTTATTTGATATATTTTATTGATGTGCTATTCATAAACATTTTCCATCCACTTTTTTTCATGAGTAGACAGATGAGCAGACATTCCACGTCAGGTGACGTAATCAGACAGTACCACATCTCCACTGCTCGAGATCGTGACAGAGCAGCTTCGTTCGAGCCGAGTTGAAATCAGTGGTAGTTGTCATATAGTTAGGGTGCAAGGTAGAGACGTTAGGGATGTTATGCGGTTCGGATAAATATAAAGTCTGAGAGAGATATTAATTGAGATATTGCAATTAAAAGAAGAGTCAGTACAAAATTAGAATAAGATATATATTTGATTTGTGGATAATTTAGACAAAATAAAATAATTTATTTTTGTAATTGTGTTAATAGTATCTACTCTCTGATACGTCACCCGCAGTTAAGTCCTTGTAATATTTTAGAAACAGTAAAAGTAACGATTTGGAGAGTGGTATTGAAGAGTAAAGTAAAGTGTTGTATATTATAGTTGAATCAAGGAAAGGCTTGGTGGCCTCAGGCCAGTACGACTTGGTTGAGTCACCAGTTTTAGTTTAGTATCGAGTACTGGCTAGGCCGACTATAACATACCATTTGAAGTTATCGTTCTATTTAATTTTTGTATTAACTGGTTTCAGAATACACTAGGCACAGTATTCGTAAGATTACGACACACAGTTGTAGGTTTTACAAGTAACGAATTATTTTCACAATAATAACATATCCAGTAAAGAATCTTGAAGGAATCTTCACCAACTCATATTCATTCTTCTCATGGCATCAAGTGGGCAACGCCATTTTTAGATCTGTACGCTTCTAGCGAGTGCGCAATAATACATTATGGGAATCTGCAAATAAAAACTCTATAAATAAGCACTATGAATGTAAAATATTCCGGTAGGTGAACAATTCTAAATAACCTTCACGCCACAGCAGTGTTGCTTTTATCCGTTCCGACATGAGAATCTACCTCTAAAAAGTTGCCAACGGTCGAGGTCAGTACTAAGCTGGAGGCCGCAGCGGTGGGATGCCATGTCAATCTGGGCCAACTGGAAATCCTAATTGTAACACATACATATTAAAAATTATTTTTGGGTAAGCAAATGTTTTCGGAAGTACAAAGATAGTTAATTCGTGCTTAAAACGGAAGCTGAAAGCTACAACGCACTGATATTAATTCCACAGCGTAGTGATAAATGCTGGCTGTGTTACCAAAATAAAGTATAACGTTGCCATGATGCGGGTTCTAACTTACAGGAAAATGTTGGCACTTTGTATTATCACTTAAATTTTCATGCGTTAAGAAATCAAGGCCACCATTACAATCTTTCCAAACAGAGGCATTTCTAAGGAATAAAAGCTAGATATATCCAGATATATGCAAATTTACTGTTAAATTCGATAAATGTAAAAAAAACGCGAGCCTGCCAGTATTCGAACCCTTAGTCAGACGCGTTATCCATTGCGCCACAGGGTCACTGCTTCGTTATGTTATGATGATAGATAATTGTGATGTGAATAATCGCAGTAATAAATTCCCAAGTGTAATATAAACTCGATTTACCCCTACCCTAGTGCTCACAAAATCCGTGTACGCTCTTCGTTATTGTGAGGTTATCAATGCTCGTTAGTGACGCCCGAACCTCAAAAGTGTATTCATATAATTATTACCAGCGACCCACTCCGGCCTCACTCGTGTGCGATTTACAAATATTGCTTTGTTTAGGTTTACAGCAAGTAAGTTATATACACTAAATTCTTAAGTATACTAACATAGGATTAATAATGTGTTGTGTTAGTAAGTGAACCCCCATTTTTAATCAAACTGTAAAAGACAAAAGTTGTTACTGTGTGCCATCCTTAAATGATATACATATGCTGCTGTAGACTTTTTTTGCCCCTTTGAAGATCTACAATTCTGTAGTAAATTATTTTGTCGTATCTCTTATGGTTTAATCAGAGTAAGCCATATAAGCACCCGAAATGAGGCTTTTTCCGACTTTATTATAAATCGTCGACATTTCGCTACTAGCTTTAAATTAAATACTAACGTATTTTATTTTATTTTATACTGTGTATAGATACACATAACCTCTCTGTACTTGCTATTTTTCGGTTGCACAGTGTTAATATCTTTCCCGTGGTGTTCGCAACCAATTCGGAATTACAGAGGAACGTGCAGTTCACTCAGAAATTGTGCGCGTAGGCCTACTTAAAACCTATTTGGGACGTAGCACAAGAGCTAATACAATTTACAAAAATATACACAAACTTAGGCCTGTATAAATTTAAAAAGAAAATAATAAATCTGGAATATTTACGCACAAATATTATTGTTCTGAATAATACAATTCTTCTTTCCCGATTGTTTGTGGCTTATTATACACATGCAATGTTTTTTTTCCCTCTTTGTCTTTTGTTTTC